CCCTCGCAAATGAAACACTTTCACTTGGAAATTTTGATTCTTCAGTTCTAAAAAAGTGATTCCAAATGGAATTGCTGGGAAATCTGAGGCTGAATTTATTGGAAGTTAGTTAGTTAGCAAACCACCCCATCCTAAGCTGGGCCTAGAGTAAGTTCTGTGTCCAGGGCATTTTTAAGATGCATGAATTTCTGTCTGCCCTCACTCTGAAGACGAGAACTCTGACATCTGACACCCTATTGGTGTTCATTTGGACTTTGGCAACACCTTACAGCCTTCCACAGGGGCCCAGCTGGCTTCTACAAACAACATATCCTCTCCTTTAGCTATCTAACTGTTAGTGACATCTGGGAACTCTTGGCACACAGCCATCGGGGCCACCCATGTGGGTCTCCACAGCATCTTAGACAAATCCGAGATGAAAGATAAGACTTGTCCATGACGTGGCAGGAGACCCTCCCTGCAAATGGTTCCAGATAAAATGACAAATTTCTCCAAGTCATTTATTTTATCCAATGTCTCATTGGAGACAATCTGGTAGACAGCCTTGTGTCCAGTGTGAGCACGGCACTTAGCCCAGGACCACCGCGGAAGCCCCCACTGTCACTGGTCCCCACCGTACCACCCCACTTGCTCTAGTGTAATAGCTCAGAGGGTGAATAATAAAATTACTTTTCTGGATTTTTAAAATGTATTTTATTTAATTAAAAAATTTTAATGTTTATTTTTGAGAGAGAGAAAGAGAGAGAGAGAGAGAGACAGAGTATGAATGGGAGAGGGGCAGAGAGAGAGGGAGACCCAGAATCTGAAGCAGGCTCCAGGTTCTGAGCTGTCAGCACAGGGCCCAATGCAGGGCTCGAGCCCACAAACCATGAGATCATGACCTGAGCCGAAGTTGGATGCTTTAACCACTTAGGCACCCTTGGAGTTTTTATAAAGGTAGCTCAGAACTGGTCCAACTGTCACCTGTCATCACCCCAGCTGCTCTACCTCCTCCTTCTCCCAGGGATAGAGATGACTGGGTAGAGGCACAAAGGTAGAGTCTGAGCCATAACCTTAGTGAGAGGGCATATCTGTAATGTGAAGAGATTCCTTATCCTCCCATAAAGGAGGGAGTTGACGAGGTTCCAGAGTGTGGGGGAGAAGCTGATATTCCCTTCCTCTGTTGGATGTCGGCTTGGGCGCAGATCCGTGGCTCTGCCTTTGGCCTGTCTGAGCAGGAGTGAAGGGGAATTGGAAGAAGCTGGCAGGGAAGAGAGAGAGTAGGGTTGTGGATTAGCCAGTCATGATATTGTGATTTATAATAAGAAATATATATTTGGTTTTTATACCCAGTTCTGGCACAGAGCTCCTAAAACACTTGGAATTTAGTGATAAGGGTATCTGGATATTCAAAAGCATCCCCTTTCAACCACAACTGGGTTTATGTTAATAAGCTGACTTGGAAAGCACCTAAGGATGGGCGCTGGTTACTCAGGGTTGGAACTTTCAGGAGACAGAGGTAGAGGCTGGAGAGTGAGTTAAATGCCAGCAGCTAATGACTTAATCAACCCTGCCTATGTAATGAAGCATCCATAAAACCCCAAAAGAATGAGGTTTGAAGAACTTCCAGGCTGGTGGACACATGGAAATTTGGGGAAGGTTGTGAGCCTGGAGAGAGCATGAAGATACACCCTTCTCCCCATGGGCATCTCTCCCATGGGCTGTTCCAGGGTTATATGCTTTTATAACATAGTGGTTATCTAGTAAGTGAAGTGTTTCTCTGAATTCTATGAGATGTTCTAGCATATTAATGGAACCCAAGGTGAGTGTCATGAGAACCTCTGATTTAGAGCCAGTTTATCAGATGCACAGGTGACAATCTAGACTTATGACCAGCATCTGAAGTGGGGTGTTGAGCAGTCTTATGGGACTGAACCCTTAACCTGTGGGATCTTGACACTATTTCCAGATAGATAATATCAGAATTAAATTGGATTATAGGACATCCAGCTGGTGCTGGAGAGCTGCTTGGTGGGAAATCCCACACTTCAGAATTGGTGTCAGAGTCATACCAGCCGTGGGCCACCTGGCTGGTAACTCTGCAAGGTCGCTGGCTTGAGTTGCCTAGCTGGCAGGCTCCTAAAAAGTCAGCTGTGGGGCAGTGGCAGAGGCTGGGGGCATCCCATAAGTGGTGCAGCTGCAGGACGTGGTGGGGAAGGAAGAGGTATAAGGAATGGGCACCCAATGGTGCTTCTATGCTGGTGCCTGGAGACAGCGTGTCAGTGCAGTGGGGGTGGGGGCGCAGGTTGGGAAATGGCCCTTGTGGTTAAGTAGGCTAAGATTACCTACTTAACGTTTTATTCTAGGGTTCTCTGTCTCATCTTCTTTCCCTTTTCCCTGTGCTTTTGTATCTTCTTCTCTCTCACTCTCTCCCTGAGCTTATGCTGGTTTCTCTCTCTCAAGAACATCGGGGTTACAGCCTTGGGGTCAAATGCAGGCTCTTCCTACCAGCCTCTGATGAGCAAATGCAGGTTCTGGGAAGACTTAGTTATATTCTTTTGTCACTTGGTAAAAAAAAAAACAAAAAACAAAAAAAAAAAACAGATTAGCACATTCCCCTCAGCATCTTGAGATAAGCTGTCATGACCTGGTCATCAAACTCATTTTAAACCACTTATACTTTTATTCTCAGGGTACAGAGTCTCCTTAAATTTCTGCATCCTTTCGGAAACCCCTTTAAGGCTGATTTAGCCTAGTGAGTTCCAGGGAGTGAAAGCTTCTCATAAGCTATTAGGTAAACACAGAAAGCAGCCTTCAGAGAGGACATGCAAAGGCTGGGATGGAAGAAGCATAAAAGTTCTAAATTCATGATGGGACGTCCATGGGTAAGGCAGACGTCTTCATAACAGCAGAGTTCGGAATGTTAGAAATGGGAACCTGAAGAATTGGCTGTTAGGAAAGAAAAGGGCAAACAACTGGAGGTGCAGGGCCACGTACAGATTTTATAGTCTGGCATGGACTTGGGGCCATCCTGTCTCTCCTCTCAGCCACCTTCCTCTTCTCAAACACGGGCCCTGTCCCTGCCTGCCTCCCAGGGGCATTGTGAGGATCAAAGGAGAAGGTGGATGTGGAAGGTGAAAGCACTCTCTGAATTATTGCTCTTCGTCCTGAGGGCTGCTGTTGTTACTGCTGTTTCTAATAAATAACAGACCTGCAACAGGCCATGGTTGGAAAATGAGCACAGAGATGGGAAGTTGGGCTATGTCCTGAATTTTAGATTAGGACTCTGGAAAACAATCCTACATTCACCAAACAGGTCTCGTGGTACCATTTGTTCAAGGACAAGCAGAGGTTGACAGGGTCTTTGCTCTGAGCTATGATCACCGTGCTCACATTTATTGACTTTCAGAAGATTCCTTATTTGTGGCTTGTGAAAGACAGATGGACAGAAATCGACGCAGATGAAAGGAGCTCCGGCTAGAGTCAGGGACTGGCAGGCGATGCCATCCAAGGGGGTGCTTCAGGCTTAACTGACGGCCCTCATGGGTGTTTTTGAGGCCCTTTCTAGATCTGTGAGTGCATGATACAAGGGGAGAAGAGAGGCTGGGCTCCTCTCCTTTGGTTTTGACCGAGGCCAGGTGGCCTCAGCTTTGGGTACTTGATCATGGGCGCATCCTTTGCTCTCTGCCATTCAGGAGCTCTGACCTTAGATTTTCTTTCCTGTACTCTTGACTTTTCTGCCCTCTCACTGTGTTTATGGATCACCTACATGCTCCAGGTCGATTCCTTGTCCACACTGGTCCATGGCTGGGGCTTCCCAGCATCAAGGTGAGAGCCCCTGGTCACTGCTGTGGTAGTCTGAGGTACTGGAAGACTAGTGATGTGTGAGGTCGGACCACCATCCTATGCAAGAGAAGCTCACAGCATGAGCCGCTGCAAGTTTTCTGCAAGTCATTTTAGTATTTCCACAAGGTTTAGTCTTTTTGTAAAGAGTTACCTTTTGAGTGTTTTGTTAAAGTGCCTTTGATTATTTTTGAATTGGAAAGATAAGGAAGGCATCTGTTTAACTGCTTATAAATAAGCCTCTGATTCTAAACAATTGCCAAATGATGCCTTAGAATCTTGGGGTGTGGGATGGAAGGGGCTTAGAGATCACTGTAATGCCGGCGTTCAGGCAAGAGAGCAGAGACTGCTCCAGGCATTAAAAACACAATTCTTCTAACATTTATTTATTTGAGAGAGAGAGAGAGAGAGAAAGGGAGCCTGAGTGGGGAAGGGCAGAGAGAGGAAGACACAGAATCTGAAGCAGGCTCCAGGCTGACCTGTCAGCACAGAGCCCAGCGCAGGGTTCAGAACCCACAAACTGAGATCATGACCTGAGCTGAGGTCGGACACTTAACCGACTGAGCCACCCAGGGGCCCCAGGCATTTTAAAAAGACGTAATTTAATATGCAGAATTCATTACAGTGGTATTAGGGATGGAGGCACAAAAGCATAAAGAAAGTCTTACTCATAAAGATGAGTAATTGCTGGAAGCTGGTATCCCTGTACTGAGTACTGGGTACTGAGAGGGAAAGTGGCCTTACCCAGAGCTTTTGACTGTGGCCCAAGTCCCACACTCACCTAGAAGTGACACACAGCACTTCTTCCTATTTTCCTGAGGCCAGAACTCACTCACATGGCCACACCTACCTGCACATGGGCTGGGAGTTGTCTACTGAGCTGCCAGAAGGGAACTGGCCTGCGGGACAACTAGTCTGTGCACCTGTAGGTACAGGGGTCACTGTCAGGAAAGAACAGTGACCCTTTTGTAGAAATAATCTTTAAGACTGTGTGCGTGCGTGCGCGTGTGTGCGCGCGCGCGCGCGCGCACACACACGCACACACACACACGCCTGCATTGGCACAGTAGGGTGGCTGTGTGTTAGAGAGGAGTTCTTCTCCCCACCTCCTGTTCCACTTGCCTTGCCGCTGGCCCTCTGAAGTGCTGCTCGGTGAATTCTGTGTGCTCTGTCTACAGGGGGCGCTGGCCCAGCCCCAGCCCTGGTGGAAGAGCCAGCTGTTCGTGTGGGAGCCGGTGCTGTTTGGGACCTGGGATGGTGTGTTCACATCCTGCATGATCAACATTTTTGGGGTTGTCCTTTTCCTGAGGACTGGCTGGCTGGTGGTGAGTGATGAGCTGGTGGCCCTGGAGTTTCTTGTGAGGCTGTGACGCGGAAAGGTCTGCACTCTAGGGCATTCCACAGGGCTGTCAACAGACTCCTGAAGCACGGATGCTCCAGAAAAACGGAACGAGAAGCAAGTACATATAGCTAGCATTGCTATTTAAATGAGAATCCTGAGAACCTAGGCCTCAGACAAAGCCTCCAGTGGGAGCCTCACCATGGATTTAAGTTATATGAGCACAAAAATATGAGAAATAGGAGTCAGGACACACGGATGGGACTAGAGGTGGATCCGAGAGAGCAGACTGGTGGCAATTTGCCTCCGGTTTGTGACCCTCTCCCGCTTTCCTGGTGTTCTTCACCTTGTCTGGTGCCCTCCTGGTGGCACCGGTTGCCTTGCCCCACTACACACAGACCCCGCGTGAGAGACTACATGTGGCGGTGCTTGGTCAGAGGTGCACGAGCTCACGGGGGTCAGTTTGCTTCCTCCATGGAGAAAGCAAAGGCCTCTTCTTTGTGTCTTCTCTGAAGGCATCCTGGGAGCTTCCAAGCAGATGTGTGTCCTGAGCAGGCATTCTTACACGGGGCCTTCTCCCTGGGACGCCAGTGAACGGAACAGGCTGCTCGAAACAAAAGGTTAGCCAGTCAGGAATCATTGGTGAGCATGTAATGTGTTCCAGGCACTACTAGGTACCAATGGGATTATAAACCAGAAGGCCCTGTTCCTCCCCCTGGTGAGCTAACAGCCGAGCTGGATAGATTTCACATCAGGAATCCAAGTGGTTTCTCAGAGCAGTGTTAAATACCTCAGGGATGGAACAGGCTGTGAACATATGGTTGCGAAGGTGTCCAGGAAAGCTTCCTGGAAGAGGTGTGGTTCAGCCAGGCTTTGAGAGGTGAACTGGGTTGCACAGATGAAAGAGAGAGGGGGTCATTCAAGGCTTGGAATGTACTAGTCAGGGTTCCTCAAGGGGACACAGGCAGGACCAATAGAAGCTATATATCTGTAAGAGATACATAGGATGTCTTATATATATGACCAGGGGTCTGGGGGGTCCCAGTGAGGCTCAGGCAAGACTTGATGTTTGAGGCTTGAGTCTAAAGTCTGGGAACGTGAGCAGAATTTCTGTGTTGGAGTCTGGCTACAGAATTCTTTCTTTGCGAAACCTCAGTCTTTGCTGTTAAGGCCTTCCAACAGATTGCATGAGGCCCACTGGCATTATACATGGTCATCTCTTTTACTTAAAGTCTACTGACTATAACTGTTAATCACAGCTAAAAAAAAAAACAACCAAAAAAACCTACATTTACAGCAACATCTAGACTACTGTTTGACTAAGCAAATGGTCACCGTGGTCTATCCAAGTTAACGCAGAAAATTAGCCATCACATGGGCAGATTTGGGGGGGGAGGAAAGCTGAGCTGTATATAGCGGGTGTATGGGGTTCTCTCTAGCGGGGTGTATGAGGTTCCTAGCCCCTCAGGAGGCCTGGGTGGGGCCAGGAGCTCTTTTACCTAGGTCCTTCACTTGGGGTTCAGCCTTAATCATGGCCTGGGTGGATCTGATTTTTTTTTTTTTTAATTAACATGTGGAAAGCTTAGAGTAGGGTCAGCAACCTCCCTAGTGTAGATATAAGAATTCATGCCTCTTAACACCCTTCCCAGACTTACAGGGCCTTCCACTTACAAAAAGGCTTTTCCAGCTCAGACTCCTTGTTGTGCAGGCAGATTTAGGCATCTGGGATCCACCTCCGTTTTTGCCCATTCCTAATGGCCACTTCACTGCCTAGTACCTCTCCAGCCCGTGTCCAAGGGAGACCCATCAGTCCGACTGCTGTGTCAGAGGAAGGCTTGGCCAGTGACAGCTGGGCCCCTGGGCTCTGCTTCACACAAGGTAGTTATGGAATGGTAGAAAGGAGAAAAAGGTAAGCTTTCTCTATTTTTTTGAGTAGGCTCTGTGCCCATCATGGGGCTCAAACTTACAACCAAGATCGAGAGGTGCATGCTCTACCGACTGGGGCAATAGACCTGACCTCTATAGCCAGGTGCCCCCATGCTATCTCTATTTGGATTCTTTTTTTTTTTTTTTTAAGTTTATTCATTTATTTTGAGAGAGAAAGAGAGAGCAGGGGAAGGGCAGAGAGAGAGGGAGAGAAGAATCCCAAGCAAGTTCCATGCTGTCAGAGCAGAGCCCAACACAGGGCTCAAACCCATGAACTGTGAGATCGTGACCTGAGCTGAAATCAAGAGTCAGACGCTTAACAGACTGAGCCACCCAGGCACACCTCTGTTTTGATTCTTAAGTCTCTAAGGGCTTCTTCTGAACCCTCCCACTAGGTTATTTTTTTTGGAGAAATGGCTATCCACAGGTGTCAGTATCTGAACAGCATACAGATTAGTTCAGTATCTAGCAGCATAAGGCAAATAGTGTATTACAGTATTACAGTGAGTCTTACAGTTTCTGTGGTCCAGGCATCCAAGTGCAGCCTAGCTGGGTGCCTCTGACTCAGAGTCTTTCCTGGGGATGCAGGCAGACTGTCTGTCAGGGATGCAAATCCCACCTGAATGCTCTACCTGGGGAGGAGCTGTTTCCGAGATCACTTGGGCACTTGTTGGCTGGCCACGTCATGTGGGCTTCTTCCTAGGGCTGCCTCGCTACATGCAGCTACATGCAGCTCACTTCCCCGGGACTAGCAGTCTAAGGGGGAGAGAGAGAGAGCGTGCACGTGAGAGAGAGCGAGAGAGCGCACCCAAGATGAAAGCCACGGTCTTTTTATATCCTCATCTCAAAAGTGATCTCCCTTCACTCCTGCAGAGTTCTGTTCATTAGAAGTGAGTCACCAGGTCCAACCGCAACTCAAGGGGAGGAGATTACACGAGGTATTCGTGCCAGGGGCTGGGGGTCACAGGGGACTGCCTTTGAAGCTGCCTGCCACACAAATACATCCTTTTGCCCTGAAATGATCTCTGTTTTTCAGCTCTGACATTAGTTTTATCTGAAACACCATATTTGATCACGGAACAAAAGGAAATGTGAAATGGCAAAAAAAAAAAAAAAAAAAAAAAAAAGAAACTAAAAGAAGAAAAAAAACAAAAGTGAGTAAAGAAAAAAAACAGAGCTTCTAA